CTTCGACAGTTTCCTTACTCTTATCTCTTGGGTGTAGTCACTGTTAGTGTCTTCGACAGTTTCCTTACTCTTATCTCTTGGGTGTAGTCACTGTTAGTGTCTTCGACAGTTTCCTTACTCTTATCTCTTGGGTGTAGTCACTGTTAGTGTCTTCGACAGTTTCCTTACTCTTATCTCTTGGGTGTAGTCACTGTTAGTGTCTTCGACAGTTTCCTTACTCTTATCTCTTGGGTGTAGTCACTGTTAGTGTCTTCGACAGTTTCCTTACTCTTATCTCTTGGGTGTAGTCACTGTTAGTGTCTTCGACAGTTTCCTTACTCTTATCTCTTGGGTGTAGTCACTGTTAGTGTCTTCGACAGTTTCCTTACTCTTATCTCTTGGGTGTAGTCACTGTTAGTGTCTTCGACAGTTTCCTTACTCTTATCTCTTGGGTGTAGTCACTGTTAGTGTCTTCGACAGTTTCCTTACTCTTATCTCTTGGGTGTAGTCACTGTTAGTGTCTTCGACAGTTTCCTTACTCTTATCTCTTGGGTGTAGTCACTGTTAGTGTCTTCGACAGTTTCCTTACTCTTATCTCTTGGGTGTAGTCACTGTTAGTGTCTTCGACAGTTTCCTTACTCTTATCTCTTGGGTGTAGTCACTGTTAGTGTCTTCGACAGTTTCCTTACTCTTATCTCTTGGGTGTAGTCACTGTTAGTGTCTTCGACAGTTTCCTTACTCTTATCTCTTGGGTGTAGTCACTGTTAGTGTCTTCGACAGTTTCCTTACTCTTATCTCTTGGGTGTAGTCACTGTTAGTGTCTTCGACAGTTTCCTTACTCTTATCTCTTGGGTGTAGTCACTGTTAGTGTCTTCGACAGTTTCCTTACTCTTATCTCTTGGGTGTAGTCACTGTTAGTGTCTTCGACAGTTTCCTTACTCTTATCTCTTGGGTGTAGTCACTGTTAGTGTCTTCGACAGTTTCCTTACTCTTATCTCTTGGGTGTAGTCACTGTTAGTGTCTTCGACAGTTTCCTTACTCTTATCTCTTGGGTGTAGTCACTGTTAGTGTCTTCGACAGTTTCCTTACTCTTATCTCTTGGGTGTAGTCACTGTTAGTGTCTTCGACAGTTTCCTTACTCTTATCTCTTGGGTGTAGTCACTGTTAGTGTCTTCGACAGTTTCCTTACTCTTATCTCTTGGGTGTAGTCACTGTTAGTGTCTTCGACAGTTTCCTTACTATTATCTCTTGGGTGTAGTCACTGTTAGTGTCTTCGACAGTTTCCTTACTATTATCTCTTTGGTGTAGTTACTGTAAGTGTCTTCGACAGTTTCCTTACTCTTTTTGCTGGAGGTGAGAAGGTCACCTGCAGTGGTACCGTCTGCACACCTGTCTTTTCTTTTCTTTGTTCAGGAATATCACGACATTCCGCACTAGCAGCAAATGTTCCTGCGTATTAACTCTGTACACATCTGCATGAAAAAGGGGACAGTCTGATTACAGATAAAGCAAGATGTCCTATTGTTGTCTTGGAAAATGCTGTCTAAATATTTCCTGAAAGTTGTGGAGAGGAAAATTGGCTGGCGTTTAAAAGTGCAATATACTTTATCCGGTTTTCAATATCAGTATCTTTTGTATTTTCCTCGTCTTACTGATCCGGTCACTATTTTAACAAACGGTGACATTATTTTAAAAGAATCGGTACTCTAAACCGCCATAACCTTAACAGTTTTGTTCTGGATAACCTGTCAATTTTTCAATAATATTTTTATGAGGTTTTTATTTGTATCTCGGACTGTTACCAAACACCATCTCTCCATTAGCGTTATATTTCAATATCTTCTCTGTTGTTTATTATTCATTCTTAGCTATCCAATACTGGTTCTTGGTCAAGTCTCCTGGGCTGTAAGGGATATTTACTGACAACAGGTGTTGTATAAGTTGGCTATTATCCATGTAGGACAAATGAGAAAATATCAGTGTATCACATCTAGGGGCTCAAAACAAACCTAGATGCAAAGTAAATATAAACATGATCTACTTGTATAAATGTCTGTATACATATTGTTATAATATGCCTATGAGCCGCAAGGCTTAAAGCTTATAAACAATACAATACGTATCTTCTTTATAAATTTGTTTAGTTAAAAAAGTAATCTGTTTTGTTTTTGTTGAAGACAAAGGACAGATAAAAGGTCGAAGAGGATACATGTGAACGATTTTGTCATGGTCTGAACATGTATAGCAGTTCTCCGCCACTCGACAGGACAAGTGATATAAACAAAAGGTGCTGATTTAGGCGAAAGTGATTAATTTCATCTTTAAATCAGCGCCTGCGGAGTTAAATGTTGTGTGGTTTGGGAACGTGCCGCACTACCTCAACATTAACGAGGCAGACGGAGTGAACATCATGTACAATATCAAACCTACTGGCCTTTATTTATGCTGCAAATGACATTTTCTGTGAAAACAAATGAGAATACTGCAGGATTGACGTGACAAAAGACTTCAGTTAAATGATACAAAGATTTTGCTCACAAATAAAAATAATTTCAGGTATGATACCAGAATCAAAAGGTAAGAGGTTTGATTCCACACAAAATGACATAAATATCCATTATTTACAGCATTGGATCAAACTTAACCAGCAATTTTCCTTCTGTGTCGAAAACTGGATTCTGGGTCCAGTGTTTAACGTTAACGTTACTGACCTCATAATCATAAAGAGCAAAATACTTTTGGTTGAATTCCACCTGCTAGCTCTGGTTTATGTTCTCCTCTCCTCTTTCTTTCACATATAGTAAACGCATACAAGCATTTCGAAATATAGAGGAAAAATAAAAACATATTATCTTCTGCCCTAAAACGGCTGATAATTATATAAGTTGGTAACTGTTTTTGTTTGTTTTTATGGAGGTTTTTTCATTTGTTTTTTTACTAATGTCTAAAATTATGATTTAGATGTAGTTTAGGAGTTATTTGAATCAAATTCGTCAGTCTTTTTTTGGCAAACTATAATATTTTGATATTTGTTTGTGATAAGGTGGCTCAACACACCACGAAAAAATGGACAAAAAACATTGAAATCTTAATACTGTAATTCCTTTGCTTACCCAATAACTTCCTAGACCTTAGAATAGAATCCGGCAAGCGCATCCTTTATTCCCGAAAACCATCGAAAATGGTTGTTTTTTTTAAATAAAATTGTTCTCAACTTTTTTGAGGCTGCGTAATTATGCATCTTTATGTTACAAATAAGGACAAGTAAAACATGTTTCAAAATTGTATTTGGAACTATTTCTTTTTAAAACAAAATATAACAAAAAGTGTTAAAAAATGTCATGTCTTTCAAACTGACGGTTATATTTTAGAAATATCATACTATTGATGATGAAATAATAATAAATTTAGGGTAATACAAAATAGTTGTTTTTTCTAATATATCATATTCTGTCTTTTCTTTATTTGAACATACTTTCATTTATTTTCATCTATTACACAAAAGGGATTGTGTCGTTCTCATATCGTGAAAAACAAAATATATTTATTATATGAATATAATGTCAAGTTACAAATTTAAATGTGTGCTGTATTATATGTAAATAATACAATAACGTGTTATATGTTTTTAATCTAACTAATTATCTTCTTGTTTACAAGATGGAAGCAATTATTTTTTTGTCAGTTATAAACACGTTCATGGTTCAAATAACATGACATTTGATCCAATTTATTCTTACATATTATTTCGACAAGGTACAGTTAATACAAATGTAAGCATTGCCACTCTCTATACTCCAGTTACTTTGACTTAATTAATTGGAGGTGTTGTGCTGATTTACAATAAATACGGGAAATACTTGCAATTATAATGTTATTTATTTGGAAAATATATAAATGTAATAAAGAAATAAATAAAAAAAACATCTCCGATGCCGGGAATTGAACCCGGGCCGTCTGGGTGAAAACCAGAAATCCTAACCACTAGACCACATCGGACCTTCATAAACTGCCAGCGTAGTTTGTACTTGAATGTGTAATGCAAGCGTCGTGTGTGTTCGGCAGTATCCGTTATTAGTAGCGTGCTTCGGCTGATTCCAGTAAACTCCTATGTAGTCTTGCTAAAGTTATTGAATTAAAGCTTCGTTCTCCAGGAATACACGATAGAAATTTGTAAATCCAAATCGACATCAACAAGTACGCTTTGGGATGTTGTAATGGACAATAGATCATTAATTTCTGTTTGTAATATAACTGTATTTCAAGTATAAGGTTTTGTAAGATATTGCTACAATAATTATTGTATTTGATAAAGAAAGTGATACGATGAGAAGCAGACAAGTAATATCGGTTGAATCGGATTTCTTCGTGCACTAAGTAATTACATGTGTGTACATGTACACGTACCACTGCTAGAAAGCCAAGCCTCATCATCTACGTATACATCAAAAACAGTTTACAATCACCATCTCTCTAGTACTGATATTCGAATGAAAAGGAAAGTATCATGAACGATATATTTAAAATTATTATATTATATATTTAAACACGCATAATCCACATACGATTAATATATTTGGACATTAAATTGACAAATCCGGGTATGCGTTTCCAAAATTAATGGAAATTCATAATAGAAAAAATCCAATGTCACCGATATTATATTAGAAATATAGGCATTAGGTATTCTGTGTGTTAATACTAAACGTATAATCTAATAGGACATCCCCCGGATTCCGTGTGACTTTGGTCTTTTAGGACCATACAGTTATTTAATCTCATTATACCCATTAAACCCACAAAGACTTCCTCATAATGGCGTGTCTTTAGTCCACACGTTCGCGGCAGTAACGGCGGAGTTTTATCAAACGTTTATTAGTCATAAAATTGTTATTATCCTTTTTCTCCCTATCGCTGACCATCAGCAGCAAAGAGTCGTTGTCCGTGTAAAGGACCAGTTAATCAATACCTGTGTCATTTTACCTGTGTTGTACATGCGCATTTGAATTATATTACCCGTGCACCCTAGACGGAGCGTCGGTGTGATATTAAAGCTGTGCATTTTACGGGCCAGTTACGACACTGGCGTGGTACGTAGTGGTCTACTGGACTGTTGGCACGGTATGGGCATCGCCTGTTCCTTTTAGTTCCGGCTACAGGTACCAGTACCTGTCAGGTGAAGTAAGGGGCGCGGTCACTGGGACCATGTAATACTGACGGATACTGACTGGTACAATTTAAACATGGATGACTCCAATGTAAGTATTTTGTTGAAAGTTACATGTACACGGACGGGATGTTGTGCTGAATGTAGTGTTTGGGGTAGGGGAACTAGAGCGTGACGGGGCTAACGTACGGTGTTATCATCAATACTATTCAAAAACATTCAAAACCAATAATCGACGAAAATATGAAACTTCGTCTAGATGGCGTATAGACATGCTTGTATGTAGGAAATACATACCTAATGAACAATAGACAATGGAGTAATTACACACAAAGACTGGGTATCTCAATTAACAGCTGTTCAGAGAAGAATCTAAAATTAGTGTAGCCAATCAGAGTAAACAGAAGGTAAACAATAGGTCATTTTGTCAACAACATGCCAGTGTGCGAGTATTGCATTAACATTTTTGTAACATTTTTATTAGGTCGTGAGGTTAACTGAGGTCAGTGTTCGGAGATGTCTCTGTATTGTGTGAACACGTGTGTTAGCGGTTTCGGTATTGTGTGAACACGTGTGTTAATATTTTCGGTATTGTATTTTAACGTTTTTAAGAGTATGATATATTACTTGTGTCAAAGTTCCCGGTATTGTAGTCTGACGTCAACAATGCAAAAGGTGGCACAGCGATTGAGAAAATTATCCATCTTTCCAATGACAACAAACATTTCATGGCATTTTTACCGAGAGGTAAAACGTCTAACAAAAGTCTACAAACCAGGATAGCTCCAAATATAAATACTGTTGCACCAAGTTCTGACGTATACATGCCTTAATGTTTTGCATTGTTCCACAGGAGTATGATCGGTATGATGATATCGAATCGTTTCGTCGGTTATCAGTTCCTAACGTCATCATCACAAATTATCCTGACGTCACGACGCCAGAGTCTCCGAAGGAATTCCTCAACTCTGTAGACAAGGGTGTCTACGTCATCAAAACTCCCGAACAAAATTATCAACACAAGAATCGTTTGACACCTGATTCTGATGCTGTGTCCAAGGTAAGTCGTCACTGTTACTAACCATATAACAGCAAAGTCATTGCTAGATACGTGTGACGTGGAATCGGGCAAACTTTATTTAATAATCTACATTAACAGGAATGATACTTATTAGAATTTATATAACTCGATAGGCATCTCTGCCAGACACTTAGAAGTCAGTTGCAGATCTAGGGACCAATATTCGGGCGTTTCCTTTACTTTTAATCTTTCCAGGTAAATGGAGGGGGTAATACGTCACGATTTCTCATCCTTAGCACGATTCTCACCCGGATGAGAAACCGTGTTAAATATGCGGCGTTCGCAATACGATTTTTCAACCCCGCACGATTTCTCAACGGGTGAGAAATCGTGGCGTAACAAGGGGACACCTGGTTATGAAATAAAATCAAAAGGCTATGAAGTTTCTGAGAGCCAGAAACACCATCCGTATCCGTCTCTGTTAAAGCTGTTATGGTTTATAAAATGTATATAATGTTTGATATTACTGTAATTCCTGGCACTGTTACACAGGGTGTAGTGATACCTGGCAACCTTTGTCTCATACAGTACAGACGCTGGGCTGCTTTTAGAATTGATAAAAGACAGTTTCCACAAAACACTAATTAGGTTTTAGATATACCAACACGAGGCGGCAATCATTCTGAAGTGTAACACAAAGTCATGTACATTAGTTTGTACCTACTAATGGTGACGGGCCTGAACGTTTCAACTGTTTACAACCCTCGTTTTGCATCACAGCGGCACATCTAACGTTACATATGTACATGTACATTATACATTGCATCTTTGATCATGAGGGACTAGTGATATTATAATTTTTTAAAAATGACTCCAGTTACTTCCCTTTAAACGTTTAAGATCTGTTTTACATCAGGTCACTCTGTCATTTATCTTATTTATATATATTTTTGGTTTCGATCGTTTAATAATAAATTTTCTAAAAATGCGGAATCACTTAGAGATATGTTAGCCTCCGTGGGCCAGAAACAAAGCTTTGTAAGCGTGAGGCGTTATACAACTCTACGAATTACGGAATAGAAGTTATTGATTTAAGGTACACATGTATCTCCCATCGACGACCATGTAGCCGATTAAAAAAAAATGGTTTATAGAGCTATAAATTACATTCAAGTTTTGTAGCTTTTTATTCAGGGCAAGTGCAAGGCAATGCAAATATACAGTTATGAGGCTCCGAGATTCGAATATACCCTACGCAGTCTAGTTATATTACAATAAAAACCCTGTACATGTCTGTCGGTCATTTGCGTTGTGCCTTGACACATGCTGCACTGAATCATATATGGTGCTTGTCGCCTTCAGGCCACCACGAGGTCCGAGAGTAAAATAGAAAAGACAAGGAGTCGGTCGACGATCGCCGGAAGTGACCATACCCAGGTTTACGGAGAGGATGAAAACGAAGAGCGTGGGAACTGGACGGGGCGCTTTGACTTCTTGTTGTCCATGCTGGGGTACTCTGTTGGGCTCGGCAACATCTGGCGCTTCCCCTACCTCTGCTACAAAAATGGTGGCGGCGCTTTTCTCATCCCTTACGTCATCATGCTGCTTGTGGTGGGAATTCCCCTTTTCTATTTGGAGACCTGTATCGGCCAGTTCTCCAGTCGTGGACCACTTTCGTGCTGGGGATTCGCGCCCCTCTTCCAAGGTAAGGAATTACACAAAACAAAAACAAAAAAACCCAGAAAGGCTCGAGTAAGATAAGGACAGATATTAGATTAAATGACGTTCGAAATCTGTTTGTTTAATAGTCGTCTACACATATTCGAATCAGATCATTCACTTTTGATTTCCCCAATAAAATATTACAACAAACTGGAAAAAATATACGATCTTTCAAAGAAGAATTCATACTTCTGGTTGCAGGACTTGGCGTTGCTATGGTGATAATTTCTGGAATTGTGACGCTTTATTACAACATGATCGTGTCCTGGGCCATCCTTTACTTCTTCGCCTCCTTTACAAGTTCTCTCCCTTGGAGCACCTGCGAAAATCCATGGAACACCAAAGGTATGCTGCTGATACAGGAATCTGAATGCGAATTATTTTTAAATGTAGCATTTGGTCAGATTTTAAGACGTACAGACAAGAAATGATCGACTTCATTATAATTGCAAATCAACATGAGTTAATGTGTGAAGGTAAATGGAATTTCTGCCAACAGATTGCAGTCTTAAGTTACCAAGGGTGAACTGTACCGTGACGGAGGGGGTGAAGTACACCAATGGTACGTGCTACAATAGGGAGAAGTTTGTGGGGCTCTGGAACACGACCCAATTCACCACCTCCACGGGCCGTCTCAGAATCACACCCTCAGAGGAGTACTGGAAGTAAGTGTTCGTTATGTCACAGAGGCGTAATTATCATCGGAGATGTTCTGATGCTTTTGACAACACTACAATGGAATATACAGTTTAAAAGGAATTGAAGATGGCCAGTGAATGCCTATCATATGTTAGAAAAGAACTTATGTTGATAAACTGCTGGGAGTGTCCCCTATTTAGTAACCCTCTGACGACATCACGCATCGTAAGTTCACTCATTTAGGAGGTTTCCTGGGGTTTAAGGTTAAAACTACTTTTATTGTTTCAGTAACTACGTGCTTGGAATCAGTTCCGGGATTGACGATATGGGGCCTCCAAGGTGGCAGTTGACATTGTCCTTATTCGGGGCCTGGTTTCTGTGCTTCCTCTGTCTAATCAAAGGCATCAAAACCACGGGCAAGGTACACACTCCGGAACTACTGAACGGGTTCTTATATTGCTTTTACGTTACGTACGTCCAGAAATCGGTAGTGCATGTTCTTCAATAAAGAGGAGACTGAAATCATGGTAATTTGTCCATGCATATGCCTCCAGGCCTGATGTAACAATTCAATTTGTGAGAAAAAGTGACAGCATTGTTATATTTCGAATGCCGTTGATTGATATCACTTCGATACCAGGGTTGCCGATAGCTACTGAAAAACGATATTGAGAAAAATAAACCACCACTGACTAATAAGGAACTAATTATCAAATAATTTAATGATGCTTATTTCATCATTTATTCGGAGTCTTACATGTACATAACAATAAAAACCAAGTACAGCAATTAAGAATTACTACTTGGTGCCATTTTGAAGCGCATCCTAGCTAAAAGTAGAACGAGCAATGCCTTTCTATATTTGATAATTCCTGCTGTTTTACTCTGCATTTGACGGCAAACAAAAAGTCACCTGCATAAAGCATAACAAACATAAGGTTTTCCGTTTTTAATCAGACAAGAATCAACCAACGATACAAATGACCTTAGCCAAATGTGGAAAGTTGATAGAAAGTTCAATATTTACACGGTAGGACGAACATCTCCAATATCAACTGTGCATTCCTTTATGGCTAACATCTAAGCACCATTTTTATTATAGTTTGTGCGATGTTCACCATTCCTCGTCTCTACCACAGGTCGTCTACTTCACCGCCATCTTCCCCTACGTCGTCCTCATCATCCTGTTCTTCAGAGGAGTGACCCTCCCGAACGCCTCCGAGGGCATCTATTTTTACATCGTACCTACGTTTGACAAACTCCTCGACGCCAAGGTAAATTGTTTTAAATATTATACCTTGGCATTTTTTGTTTTTAAAAACCTCTTTTAGACATGTGTAAAAGATAAAATATTTGTTGGCCTTGTAGGAGGGAAGAATATTTTCTTTTATTATTTTATAGGAATTAATTATGTTTCACAAGCGCGAAAATCAAAATAAAATGCTAAAGAAATGAAAATTGACAGATTTTAAAACTCGATTAAAATACCTTTGTGTGGTACATCATACAAATTTCGAAATATCAATGATCCTTCCATTATTGTGACGTCATCAATAGATGGATAATTCATGCACCTAAATAGTTTATACAATAAAACGTTAGTATACATATTGATATCGCTCTATAAGAGCAATGAGATCGATGTTTTAATTCTTTAATACGTGAAATACAAATCTTCCAACATGAATCTATGTTTGTTTCTTAGGTTTGGCGAGATGGTGCTGTACAGGTGTTTTACTCACTGGGACCCGGATGGGGAGGACTGATTGCTCTTTCTAGTTACAACAGATTCCATAACAATATACTGGGGTGAGACTTCGCTTATCTACAACACTCTGTATTAATATCTCAGTCGCTAAGTAGGCCAAACATCTCGAAATGTTGTTACGAAACCAAACAAAAAGAATCTTTGAACGTGAACTTTTTTCATTCGGAAACATGCGGGTTTTTCCGTCAAACTGCTAGGTAGTCGAGAGTCAATCATATCGTGACGTCAAATTCAAATTTTGAAGGAAATCCTTAATTGTTTCCAAACGATATTTGTGGCAAACGGAAATGTTGGCCATATAAATACGACTTTAACATCATATAGTTGGTTAACCAAATGTTTAAAATGAATCATGAACTAAAGGAAAGCAATCAAGAAAACAAACATAGATTTATTTTTGTTTTAAACGTAAGTATAAGGAATGAAATGCTATTTTAGTGTTTTTGATACATTTCAACACACTACCTCGCATCTTGCACTATCATCGATGATGCAAAATATGCAATAAATTTTAAAATAACATCTTACTGGGGCAGAATTGCAAATTTAAAGCTCGCCAGAAAAAAAACTTTCACAGATTTCACTTCTTAAAAACACTCAATTACACAAAATAAGGTACTCAATACTACACCGACATTTCAATCTGGTGCTATTATACAATGCGGTTGTTCTTACAATAGTTGTGCATGTTACAGGGACGCCATCATCGTGTCGCTAGGAGACGGGCTGACCAGTATTTTTGGCGGGTTTGTTGTTTTCTCCTACCTTGGCTATATGGCCGGGCAGTTAGGTGTCGGGGTGAAGGACGTGGCAAGAAGCGGTATGTACATGTACATCCAGTTCGTTTTATTGACATCGATTCAATCTTAATACAAATTCCGAAAGGCATCGTCCCCAATCTAGACGGAACAGATGAGATCATAGACTGACTATCCAATTTTCTGCAGTGGGATGTATCAATGATATAGCTATTTGCACAATTTACAGTTATACATTTGCATATCTGGGAAATCTGATAATAGTGTCTTCTCTTCTGAAAAAAACCATGTCGTTATTCAAACTTTATGAATGATTGACTCTAAAATATTGATTATGTAATCGTATTTGCTTATCTTCTTCCGGTGTGTGTAGGTGCGGGATTGGCGTTCGTGGTGTACCCGGAAGCGGTGAACAACTTACCTCCCCCTACCCTGTGGTCACTCCTCTTCTTCTTCATGCTGATAACCCTCGGACTGGACAGTGAGGTTGGGTTACCTTAAACATTCCGCTCCATGTACAGATTTCAATGTATCGCTCCATCGTCCTTTCGTGTCTCATACTGTCTGCTACTTCAGTATTACCTTTTAAGTAATTGGAGCCTGAAGTTGGTTCCTAGTTCCTAGTCCCTTAAGTAATGTAGTTAACACAAATTGCGAATTTTACATAAATAATACAATCGATACGCAGTCATTGTTAATTTCGTTTAAACATCGTCACTATTCACACTAGTTTGTGTTCATCCCTAGTTTGCCATGCTGGAGACGGTGCTGACCGGTTTAACGGACTATTTCCCATCACTTCGACCGAAGAAGTCGTTTGTAATTCTGTTCGTGTGTATCTTCTGCTTCCTACTGGGCCTGCCTATCACTACCTCGGTAAGTACTGGCTAATCTCCCCTTTACTTTGATACTAACTAGTTTGTCACTCCTCCAATTGTTACATCCCATTCCATGTTATACCATTTTCTATGATGCTGTGATCTATATGTAATAGGTTACCCCTCCTTCGCTGAGATACTGTAATCTATTATGCTGTGATCTATATGTAATAGGTTACCCCTCCTTTGCTGAGATACTGTAATCTATGATGCTGTGATCTATATGTAATAGGTTCCCCCTCCTTCGCTGAGATACTGTAATCTATGATGCTGTGATCTATATGTTATAGGTTAACGCTCCTTTGCTGAGATACTGTTATCTATGGTGCTGTGATCTATATGTAATAGGTTAACCCTCCTTTGCTGAAATACTGTTATCTATGATGCTGTGATCTATATGTAATAGGTTAACCCTCCTTTGCTGAAATACTGTAATCTATAATGCTGTGATCTATATGTAATAGGTTACCTCTCCTTCGCTGAGATACTGTAATTTATGATGCTGTGATCTATATGTAATAGGTTACCTATCCTTCGCTGAGATACTGTTATCTATGATGCTGTGATCTATATGTAATAGGTTACCTCTCCTTCGCCGAGATACTGTTATCTATGATGCTGTGATATATATGTAATAGGTTACCTCTCCTTCGCCGAGATACTGTAATCAATGATGCTGTGATCTATATGTAATAGGTTACCTCTCCTTCGCTGAGATACTGTTATCTATGATGCTGTGATATATATGTAATAGGTTACCTCTCATTCGCCGAGATACTGTAATCAATGATGCTGTGATCTATATGTAATAGGTTACATCTCCTTCGCTGGGATACTGTAATCTATAATGCTGTGATCTATATGTAATAGGTTACCTCTCCTTCGCTGGGATACTGTAATCTATGATACTGTGATCTATATGTAATCGGTTACCTCTCCTTCGCTGAGATACTGTTATCTATGATGCTGTGATCTATATGTAATAGGTTACCTCTCCTTCGCTGGGATACTGTAATCTATAATGCTGTGATCTATATGTAATAGGTTACCTCTCCTTCGCTGAGAAACTGTAATCTATGATGCTGTGATCTATATGTAATAGGTTACCCCTCCTTCGCTAGGATACTGTTATCTATGATGCTGTGATATATATGTAATAGGTTACCTCTCCTTCGCTGAGATACTGTTATCTATGATGCTGTGATCTATATGTAATAGGATACCTCTCCTTCGCTGAAATACTGTTATCTATGATGCTTTGATCTATATGTAATAGGTTTCCCCTCCTTCGCTGAGATACTGTAATCTATGATGCTGTGATCTGTATGTAATAGGTTACCTCTCCTTCGCTAGGATACTGTAATCTTTGATGCTGTGATCTATATGTAATAGGTTACCTCTCCTTCGCTGAAATACTGTTATCTATGATGCTGTGATCTATATGTAATAGGTTACCCCTCCTTCGCTGAGATACTGTAATCTATGATGCTGTGATCTATTTGTTATAGGTTACCTCTCCTTCGCTGAGATACTGTAATCTATGATTTTGTGATCTATATGTAATAGGTTACCTCTCCTTCGCTGAGATACTGTAATCTATGATGCTGTGATCTATATGTCATAGGTTACCCCTCCTTCGCTAGGATACTGTAATCTATGATGCTGTGATCTATATGTAAAAGGTTACCTATCCTTCGCTGAGATTCTGTAATCTATGAGGTTGTGATCTATATGTAATAGGTTACCCTTCCTTCGCTAGGATACTGTAATCTATGATGCTGTGATCTATATGTAATAGGTTACCTCTCCTTCGCTGAAATACTGTTATCTATGATGCTGTGATCTATTTGTAATAGGTTACCTCTCCTTCGCTGGGATACTGTAATCTATGATGCTGTGATCTATTTGTAATAGGTTACCTCTCCTTCGCTGAGATACTGTAATCTATGATGCTGTGATCTATATGTAATAGGTTACCTGTCCTAGGGTTATATTTTCCTAATTGTTTTTCGGTCCTTTTAAGTAATTTGTTTCATTCTCTATCCTGTGATACTGTAAATTGCACGTGATAAATTATCATCTGTAACCTGTAAGTATGTAATGTCTTTCCGTTGACACTGTGATCTGTTAACACTGGGTACTGAATTATCTCCCCTACCCAGTGACACTGTGATCTGTTAACACTGGGTACTGAATTATCACCTCTACCCAGTGACACTGTGATCTGTTAACACTGGGTACTGAATTATCACCTCTACCCAGTGACACTGTGATCTGTTAACACTGGGTACTGAATTATCTCCCCTACCCGGTAATACCGGGTACTGAATTATCTCCTCTACCCAGTGACACTGTGATCTGTTAACACTTGGTACTGAATTATCTCCCCTACTCAGTGACACTGTGATCTGTTAACACTCGGTACTGAATTATCTCCCCTACCCGGTAATACCGGGTACTTAATTATCTCCCCTACCCGTTAACACTAGGTTGTTAAGTATCTCCACTGCCCGTTAACACTGGGTACGTAAGTATCTCCCCTACCCGATGACAGTTATCTGTTAACACTTTGTACTGAATTATCTCCCCTACCCGGTGACACTTTGCTCTGCTGACCCTGGGTAGTTAATTATCTCCCCTACCTGGTGACACTGTGATCTGTCAACACCGGGTACTTAATTATCTCCCCTACCCGGTAACATTGTGATCTGTTAACGCTTTGTACTAAGTTATCTCCCCTACCTGGTGACACTGATCTGTTAGCATTTGGTACTGAATTATCTCCCCTCCTCGATGACACTGTGGTATATTCACACTTGTACTGAAGTATCTCCCCTACCCGGTGACACTGTGATCTGTTAACACTGAGTATTGAATTATCCCCCCTACCCTCGGTTAGCAGGCACGTACTTACTTATCTGTGATCTTTAACCACTAGGGTATCTTCACAGTCATGTGATGCTGTAATTTGTAAGTACTGTGACACCTCAATTTGGGTAATTATCTAAAGAGAAGGAGGGGAAAACTGTTTAAGTTAGGGTAAAGTGCATTTTAACATGTGCATTTATCATGCTGAGAGTGATGATGATGACAATGACAGATTAATTAGACATCCATCCTCTGTAGGCTTTGCACCTCAACATACATGGTAACTGTAACAGCATGCACGCGCCATGACTGGGAGCTACACGTGTGTTTCCATGGCCTCGGTAGCGCAGTAGGTAGCGCGTCAGTCTCATAATCATAATCACAAGCACAGAGCGATCTGAAGGTCGTGAGTTCGATCCTCACCCGGGGCATTCATTTTTTTAACTCAAAGCTTGATATTAGGAAGAAGGGGTAGAGAAAGCAATATCAGGAAATACGTTTGGGTAAAGCCGAGGTTTCATTTTACATCTTAGGAGGTCCTTACCTCAAACGAAAGGGTTGATTGATTGCTACCAACCCAAAACCGGACAAACCTTCCTATAATTGAGACGGGAGAGATATGTTGACATAACAATGTGATATGGAAATCTTGACAATGTTGACTTCGGGATTTCGGTTGATATCTCAGTGACATTTTTATCAGTCAGAAAAGAAAACTCAATTACACATGGAAGCCATCCAAATGTTTTTTCCTCGGCGATATAGACAGCAATTATGAAAAAATATTGGAAAATAATCATTCACTTTTTTTTTTTTATTAATTGAGCTTATATGTCGGTGATACTATGATCTGTTGACACAGGCAGCTGAATTATCTCCCCTACCCTTTGACACTGTGATCTATTCACACTGGTACTGAGTATTATCTCCCCTTCCCGGTGACTCTGTGATATGTTAGCACAGGGTACTGAATTATCTCCCTTACCCGGTGACACTGTGATCTGTTCACATTGGTATTGAATTATCTCCCCTTCCCGGTGACTCTGTGATATGTTAGCACAGGGTACTGAATTATCTCCCCTACCCGGTGACACTGTGATCTGTTCACATTGGTATTGAATTATCTCCCCTACTTGGTGACACTGTGATCTGTTCCCACTGGTACTGAATTATCTCCCCTACTTGGTGACACTGTGATCTGTTCCCACTGGTACTGAATTATCTCCCCTACCCAGTGACACTGTGATCTGTTCCAACTGGTACTGAATTATCTCCCCTACCCAGTGACACTGTGATCTGTTCCCACTGGTACTGAACTATCTCCCCTACCCGGTGACACTGTGGACTGTTCACACTGGTACTGAATTTTCTCCCCTACCCGGTGATTTGCCCCTACCCTGTGATGCTGTAATGTGTAAGTACTGGGTTATCTCCCCTACCCCTGAATACTTGTATCCCTCTCTGTGATCATTTACTACTAGAGTATCTTCCCAGTCATGTGATGCTGTAATGTGTAAGTACTAGGTTATCTCCCCTACCCCTGAATACTTGTATCCCTCTGTGATCTTTTACTACTGGAGTATCTTCCCAGGCATGTGATGCTGTAATTTGAAAGTACTGGGACACCTCAATTTTGGTTATTTTCTAAAAAGTAAGCAAGGAAAATTGTTTTCGTAAGGGTTAAGTGCGTTTTAACATGTGCATTTATCATGCTGAGAGAGATGATGATGACAATGACAGATAAATTAGACAGCCATTCTCTGTAGGCTTTGCACCTCAACGTATAATAGCATGCACGCGCCATGACTGGGAGCTACACGTGTGTTTCCATAGCCTTGGTAGCGCAGTAGGTAGCGCGTCAGTCTCATAATCACAAGCACAGAGCGATCTGAAGGTCGTGAGTTCGATCCTCACCCGGGGCATTCATTTTTACTGAACTCCAAGCTGTGTAACACATCAGTTGTTTACACGAGCATTTATTATACATCTTATGAGGCCCTGGTGTCACATCTTAGGAGGCCCTGGTGTCACATCTTAGGAGGCCCTGGTGGCCCTGGTGTCACAACTTAGAAGGCCCTGGTGTCACATATCTTAGGAGGCCCTGGTGTCACATCTTAGGAGGCCCTGGTGTCACATCTTAGGAGGCCCTGGTGTCACATCTTAGGAGGCCCTTGTGTCACATCTTAGGAGGCCCTGGTGTCACATCTTAGGAGGCCCTGGTGTCACACCTTAGGAGGCCCTGGTGTCATACGATAGGGTTGATTGTACCTGCTTAAGGACAGATGAACAATTGCTACCCACCCAAATACCAATAATTTGTTTACGCCCAAAAAGAGAGTTAAGTTTTATTTATCATACACAGCTAAGTGTGGTGTAAACGCAAATGTAGCAAGATGGCAAATGTTAATGATAACTGTATTTGGTCTACTACTCCATGGTAACCTATACCAAGGGATTCTTATTGTACTTTTTTTTTCTCTTTTTCTCTGATAAATTTACCATAAAAAACTCTGCGATAAAGCTTTATTTTAAGAAAAAAATGAAAATCAGTTATTCTTATTTAAAAAGAAGGGCCGTATAGCTTCGGTATGATACACGTACGTACATAGTCGTTCACGCGTTATGTCTTACCCAGGTGAGACTTATTTACCCTATACACACAGGAACATGTATGTGTTCAAAAACATCTGTTGATTTACCCTATTCCGTCTTTGCGTATTGCAGAGTTATCTTCTCTTGGGAGGAGGTATTGATTGTTACGTCACTTGTTTGTGAGGGTAACGTCATCAATTTTTGAGAAAACGGCGTAATTTTCTCGCACAAACCAATGACGTAAAAACCAATACCTGCTCCCAAGAGAAGATACCTCTGCAATACGCAAAGACGGAATACACACAGGAACATGTATGTGTTCAAAAACATCTGTTGATTTACCCTATACACACAGGAACATGTATGTGTTCAAAAACATCTGTTGAAATAAGTCAGTACTACTATTGTAGATATCAATAACTTATATGTCAAGAAAATGCATCATGTAATAAATTTAAGAAATAATTGATGTTGGTATTTGTTAATTATCCACTGTTATATACATAATCGTTAGACATATTGATTATATACTGATGTGTATGTACGGTGTATCTATTAATGAGTTAGGTCTATTATTAATTAATGAGTTAGCCCTATACACTATGTATACTTATGATTTATAGAATTTTACATACTGATGCGTTATGTACATTGAATATGCTAACGAGTTAGACATTGTTTATTCTTAGAAATTATATAATTTTAAAAAATCATGTGTTATAAACATTGTAGTTATATAATTGTTTAAACTAAAGCGTTATATGCATTGTATATATACTTATTAATTAGACATTGTTGATACATTAAAGTTATATAATTTATAAACTAGTGTGTTTATACTTATAAATTATATACTGTAAAAAAACAATGCGTTCTATACATTACTCCTATTTAAGAGTTCTTCTGATTGGCAATGGACGCCGTCACTTTTGACGATTATGTCATTACATGCATCGTAGATACCTAGGTATACAAAATGTGTATATTTGTTAGGCTTAACTACAAGTACAATTTTGAATTACGCACTGCAGGGTGGGATGTACTGGCTGCAGCTACTTGACCACTACGTGGGTTCATGGTCACTGCTGGTCATAGGCCTGACTGAACTCATGGTCATTAACCTCATTTACGGTAAGTTGAGTTTAACCCGAAATAAAGGTAGGTCAAAGAATAAGTTCAAACTCAAAACAAGATAAGAGTATATGTCCACTGTGTAACACGTTGATCACGAGATAAATTGATATACAGACACTAAGAACAAAATGTCATGCTATTACTAAAGTAAATAATACAGACAACTAGTCCAAGATATATGTACCAGTCGTCAGTCTCCGTGTATAATATGATGTTATGCTACCGTTGCAGGTATTAACCGATTCCTAAGTGACATCGAGGTCATGCAGGGTTACCGACCGTCTATATGGTGGAAGATTTGTTGGTTAGGTATCAGTCCGGCAGGAATGGTGGTAAGTTGGCAAAATGGTGATTTGTAAGGTATCAGTCGGGATAATTAGTTCTGTTACCTTGAGGTACCAATATGTCTGTTCACATTTTCTTTAATTTGAATATTGTACTACACTGTGCATGTATTTATCAAATTAAAACAAATTATTTTTAAACCAAAAATAATGTCCTCCCCAATTCATACCACTCTTTTACCCCTCTCTTGGTTGGTTGGTTGGTTGAAGGGTTTTGCGCCTACATGAACCCGCCCTTACAGTTTATCGCTGCTATGTTTACCTCCCCAGTTTATCGCTACTATGTTTACCTCCCTAGTTTATCGCTTCTATGTTTACCTCCCCAGTTTATCGCTGCTATGTTTATCTCCCCAGTTTATCGCTGCTATGTTTACCTCCCCAGTTTACCGCTGTTATAATTACCTCCCCAGTTTATCCTGGTGTTCTCGTTTGTGGACTACTCCCCCATTACGTACGACGCCTACGTGTACCCGGCGTGGGCCGAGGCGTTAGGCTGGCTCCTCTCCCTCTGTTCCATAATCTTCATCCCGATTGTCATCATTTACAAGATTTCAAAGGAGAACGACGAGAAGGGTCTCATCAATGTAAGTACTCCTCCCTAAATCACATACAAAACAGTTTATTTTCGTCACATTATATTTTCACCAATATGAGTGCAATTTTATAAGAATACTTTGCTATTTAATAGAACATTTTGTTATCAAACAAATTGCAGAAAGTTCAATCTGCCACGGGAGTATGAATTCGACACTTCTGCAGGAACACTTTAATTTAAAATTATCTTTAAAATTATATGCAATAGAGACATTAAAAATAAACGCAAGTTATTCTTGTATTATACATATACTTGCTTACATCTTTATAGAAAGTAAAGCTGCTTCTGGCGCCGTCACGTGACTGGGGTCCGGCATTGGTCAAACACCGAGAGTTGGTGGACTATGTAGAAGGCTTTGTGTTGGATCCTGAGAAAGAGAAACAAGAATTATCGTTTATAAACTACGGGTACAACACCTCTGTTTCCAATCTACAGGTAAACGTTGGTTTATTTACATAGGCCCTTCCCATTTTCCGTTAACTTTATGGAAAGTCAGCCTGTAGTTACGGGACAGTAACTGCAGTCTGCATTATCAATGATATTAATATGTAAAGGAAATCATTGTATGACATGAATCCGTTTCTACGGTGTTAAGTATTTTTTTCTTATGCGTCGGTTATATTGTCTGTTTCAGACCACCAGCAGCGCGACCCCCAGCGAGGCATCAATCGACCCCTCAGTGGACACACGACGGACGTATCTGTCCCGAACTTTATCACATGTGTCTTATGAGACAACTATATGACGTGTGATCACGTGACTTAAGAAACAATTGCATTTATATGACGTGTGATCACGTGACTTACGAAACAATTGCATTTATATGACGTGTGAGCACGTACGTGACTTACGAAACAATTGCATTTATATGACGGTATTTTGTGAGACAACTACATGTCGTTCCGTCTGTTGTGATGTCTATGTAACAACTAATTTATGTGATGACGTGTCTTACCAGACGAATAGAGTAAACATATATCTTATTAAGTAATTGTTTATGTTTTGATAGCACAAGTGTTCTATAAGCCATTCACCGTGCCATATTGACAGATCATTACTCAGCAGCTATTTGATCAGTACAACATGTGTCTTAATGTCTACCACTATAAATAGCAGCAGTCACTTTACGTCCAAGCTTTCGGTTTTTGGGCTGATTGGACAAAGAGTGACTGTTGCTATTAATACATGTGTAAAAGTTTGTGGTTTACTGAACACAATACTCAAGTGTAAGAATCTCCGACAGTTTTCACTTAAATACAAGTGTAGACAACTTGTGCAATGTTTTATTTTTCAAGTTTTCGTCGTTTTAATGTATACATTTTATTAGTTACAAAGTCGTATTTGGATGTTGACTAGCGCAGAGTAAAAACTCATTGTAATGTTCCTGAAGACGCTGATTATATCCGGCGTTCCAAGGAGTCGGAGAAGTGTTCTATGCCAAAAACTTACAGCTATCTGGACATTGACGAATGGTCCATTAGCAACTTGACTTTTTTACCTATATTACGGCATTCAGCACGGGTGTGTTTATTACCTGTCTGTGTCATATTTACACCAGGAGATTGTATCAGTTTAGTTACCGTTCGGCGAGCTTATACGTACTGTGGTGTCCCTGCATCCTCTGTCGTAAGCATCATCTTCTGAACCGCAAAACCTCATCAGATGAGAATTCGAAATTTTATAAAACAAAGAGAGTGACCCCTGGGGTAGGGGGGGGGGGGAGGTTTTGGAGGAGGTGAAGTATTTTGAGGGCAAGACTAAACATTATAACTTGGCCTTGTTGATTTAAGTACCTTCTTCTTCTTTGGAACTATGAGATGAATATCAACCAAAACTAGTTGATAGCTTTCCCATGTAGTGGTAATTCACTATTGTATACGTGGAGGGGCTGTGTGGGGCGGAATCAAAAAGTGATATAGTGCGTATTTGAAATGATTTAGACCAAAACCCTAAAACTATATACATTTTATAACATTATCTAATGGCTTGTGGTGAAGAGACGAATACACGTATCCTACAAGGATTTACCTCTCGGTCCGCCCCACGTATCCTACAAGGTTTTGCCTCTCGGTCCGCCCCACGTATCCTACAAGGTTTTTCCTCTCGGTCCGCCCCACGTATCCTACAAGGATTTCCCTCTCGGTCCGCCCCACGTATCCTACAAGGATTGCCCTCTCGGTCCGCCCCACGTATCCTACAAGGTTTTTCCTCTCGGTCCGCCCCACGTATCCTACAAGGTTTTTCCTCTCGGTCCGCCCCACGTATCCTACAAGGATTGACCTCTCGGTCCGCCCCACGTATCCTACAAGGTTTTACTTCTCGGTCCGCCCCACGTATCCTACAAGGTTTTGCCTCTCGGTCCGCCCCACGTATCCTACAAGGTTTTACTTCTCGGTCCGCCCCACGTATCCTACAAGGTTTTACTTCTCGGTCCGCCCCACGTATCCTACAAGGTTTTACTTCTCGGTCCGCCCCACGTATCCTACAAGGTTTTCCCTCTCGGTCCGCCCCACGTATCCTACAAGGTTTTACTTCTCGGTCCGCCCCACGTATCCTACAAGGTTTTACTTCTCGGTCCGCCCCACGTATCCTACAAGGTTTTTCCTCTCGGTCCGCCCCACGTATCCTACAAGGTTCTACCTCTCGGTCCGCCCCACGTATCCTACAAGGTTTTGCCTCTCGGTCCGCCCCACGTATCCTACAAGGATTTCCCTCTCGGTCCGCCCCACGTATCCTACAAGGTTTTAACTTTCGTTCCGCCCCACGTATCCTACAAGGGTTTACCTCTCGGTCCGCCCCACGTATCCTACAAAGATTTACCTCTCGGTCCGCCCCACGTATCCTACAAGGTTTTAACTTTCGTTCCGCCCCACGTATCCTACAAGGGTTTACCTCTCGGTCCGCCCCATGTATCCTACAAAGTTTTACCTCTCGGTCCGCCCGACGTATCCTACAAGGATTTACCTCTCGGTCCGCCCCACGTTTCCTACAAGGTTTTACCTCTCGGTCCGCCCCACGTATCCTACAAGGGTTTACTTCTCGGTCCGCCCAAACCTTAGGGACCTTATAGTTCCTTGTCCATAGCATTGGAAACGGTTGAAATCCTCACTTTTTACATTTGCTAAATATAAAAAGGGAGTACACATACGCTTCCAGCTTTACCTCAGGGTCCTTTCCCATTACTCGAGACTGAGTCCCTAGGTTTGGCCCTAGGTCATAACTTTGAAAAAATTGATCACCTTATAACCATGTGTTAAATTGGATGGCATGAAAAGACAAATACAGTACATAATTATTTATGCTACCAGAATTGGCCTTAGGTTTGCTCCGCCCTTAGGGGTTTAGTTTCTGAATCATAGCGTGGAAACAATTGAGATATCTATTCTTTAGCCATACATGTACAATTTTTGAGTATAAAGAGACGAATACATATATGCCACCTGGATTGGTCCCATCCCTAGAAACGTTTCTTTTAATGAGATTATTTTTATAACTATCTTAAATGTAGGTGAGTGATACGGCCTTATGGGCCACTTGTTTACAGTCCGTGTTATCAGGAGAAAGCACGCGGCATCGTTTTAATATTTGGATCCCAGATTTTGAGCAATTTTTATGTAAACGTATGCTGCATTGTTTTCATGACAAGAACATAAAATAAATTAGCATTCTATACGACTATCCGGCTTTGTTACCCTATCAAAACATCCCTTTCTTTTGTAAAACTTAAAATATTTCCAAAATGCTTGTGTCGTTTACTGTTTATTTCTTGAGAATGTCCTACATAGTATGACAGGCAAGCGCTCTCGACGAGAAATCCACGGCTTCAGAAATAACTGTTTTCGGACTTAATCGTGCAAAACGACAGAAACATTATATGTTTTTTTGTCAAGGGGCAACGAAATTTGAAGGAAACTGGCAAACAAGATACAAACTGTGTAACACTTAAAAAAGTTGATTGTTAAAGGTTTGCTTTGTTTTCATTATGTACACAGTCCTACTAACAGATAAGGTCATTGAAGGACTTGCCTCCATGTGTGTAAAGTATGTGTGTATTGTCTCTATATACATTGTATGATAGAGGCGGTACGTTGGTGTATTTCGCCTCCTTGCGATTGTGCTAATCTGATGCCGACTTTAGAGTGCTACCTCACTGAAATACCATGCCGAAGGCTCGCAGCAAGTATATCTCTTTCTCAATCCCCGACCTACAGGGGTGGCATGATAAAGGGTATAGACAAAATGGAAGGTGATGGTTTTCGCTCCTCCTTCGCAGAAGAGGTATTTTGAGAGGAAATGTAATAATACTGCTATCAGTGTTACAATAACGCCTGCATGAAACCGAAGTGACGTAATCCAGTATCAGATCCCGCCAGTAAAAATAAAGTACTACACGCAAAGTTGCGTCTTCCTAGCAGGTCATTATTAGACGAAAGTTTCCCTCCTTTAATTCAACCACGTTCTCGCTCTCGAAATCATCTCATGACAAGAAACATGATTATTACATATTGGTAATATCCAGTCAGGATGAAATTGGTGTATACGAATCCCATTTACATTAAATGTGAGGAGTATTGATATTGCAATGTACGCACAAAGTGTAGAGGAATCTCGCTCAGCAGGAATCTGACGGCCGTATTGGAGTTCAGCCATCGGCTGTAATTTACTAGTCAATATATGATGTAGAAAATAGGTCTCGGGGGAAATTGCTGTGAAATATATCTAAATTATACAAAGGATTATGATTGATATCACCGAAAACAAGAGGAAATAGACTTCTGTTGATACATAATTGTAATATTTCAACAAACTTGACGAAAGTTGATGATATTTAAATCTGAATAGATAGTTAATATTTAACAAATTGCTCACTTTTACAATATTGCAACGAAAAGAAATCAAAACAAACCTCGTCAAGGAAAATCACGATTCAAACAAATTCACTAAAGACATGGTGCTTTGATTTTACCAACTGTACATATTTATTTATAGACTTTTGATCCCTAAAAACCCTCGTCAAGGCCGGCTTGCAGTTAAACGCACGTGTCAGTCTAGTACACGACATCCATCCTTTATATATAGAATATAGGTCTCTGAAGACGTGCATGTATTTACCTTCATATAAACATTACAGACCCCTGTGAGGGGAGTCCATGTATTTACCGTTGTATAAAGTTAATAGACCCCTGTTAGGGGAGTCCATGTATTTACAGTTGTATAAAGTTAATAGACCCATGTGAGGGGAGTCCATGTATTTGCCGTTGTATAAAGTTAATAGTCCTCTGTGAGGGGAATCCATGTATTTACCGTTGTATAAAGTTAATAGACCCCTGTGAGGGGGTCCATGCCCGAGACAGTACTAGCGATGTACTGGCACTGATAATGCGTACCTAATTGAGTATACAAGGTGCGCCACTTTCATCTTCAGAACCACTCGTCACCCTCTCCGTGTGACTGGTAATTGGCCCTCGTTAACGCATTAGAGCTAAGTTCAAATTGTACATTTCAGTGCTGAATATTAACGTATAGCTGATGCATTGAGATTGCCCGACAAGAGATGATAGGGTATAGTGTTTATCTTACTTGAGACACGAGGTTTACCGAGTGTCTTTGAAAATTCACTAAAGAGCGTCAGATAAACATGATAACCAGCCACCACGAGTTTGGGGAACTTTTTCTCACATAACGTCGATCAAATCATATGCAGGAAACCATGTTTTCCTTGGAAATGCATTATTCTTATTTCTGATCGGGGAAACTGGTGTAATGAATCATGACGTCACAATGGAAGACGACGGCACAAAGCATTAAGTGTTAGGTAGTGATTAGTGAACATTTTGAAATGATAATACGACATAATCAGGAGTACCTAACATCATTTCACCGGTATAGAATTGTTTACATGGATTAGATGGATAAGTTCTGAGGATGTATTTGCTTTGAAAGCCCGTCGGTTAACTCTTATCAACTTTGAGCAAGTAGGGCTTTGATGTTACCAAATAGTGAATAACAAAAACAATCCTAGCATGTTTATCCAACGAATCGGGAGGGAGCGGAACTGTCCGTATTCTATAGATTCTGTAGCCATGGGGATTGTTGTACAGAACTCAAAACGACTTACACAGAACTAATCCTCTCCCATCCCCGGGGACACGCTTACCGACGGTCTCTATGTTGATAAGATATTACATATTACATCATCACGTACAGACTCTTACCACATCATGACCCCCTCCCTTACATCCCCGCCCCCCTTCCTCAACATGACACTAATTGTGTCAGTCAACTGACAGTAATGTGTAGTATATCCTAGCTCCATCATCATCATCTCAGCCAGTCAAAACAAACTTATAGAAACAAACAAATACTAAATATCGGATAGCATAAATCAGCACGAGCTTCACATGACTTTATACGAGAAGTTCAACTTGTTGACATTATTTTGAATTGTACATGTATACATATCAAACCAGTGACTTATCACACACACAGAGGTCCATCATATTTATATATATCTATTGCTACTGTCTAAATATAGGGAAACCCAACAGTGCATAACGTGATACTACCTACATATGGGGACATCACTAATGTATTACAGTAATAGAGGGACACTACTTATATAGAGGGACAATTATAATGTACTATAGTAATAGAGGGACACTACTTAGATAGAGGGACAATTATAATGTATTATA